GCCTGAACTAAAATGACTCTGTGTGTGTGTGTGTGTGTGTGTGTGTGTGTGTCAGCGATTCCCAAATATGCTAGCTATTCTGATAGCTTGCACTGAGTCTAGAGAACACATCTTTCTGTATGTTGCCCCTGTTCCCATCACCTCCCCTCCACCACCTTATCTGCTGGTATTTGCCTTCCTGACCTTCTCTCATCCAGTGGGGACTTCCTGAAGGGTAAGTGGGGCAAAATAGGAAGAGCAGAGGCCTTCTTTTCCCAAGCTGTGGACTTGAACATTCTCTCCACAGCCTACTACTGGCTGCCTTCAGGGATAAATGTGCCGTTACCCTGCCCTAGGCACCCTTGCAGGCCACTCAACTAACCATTTTCTTGGGCCTGTGACTGGTGGCAGCAAATGGCCCCTTTGGTACCGACTCGTCTGAGTGCCACTCTCCTCCCCATCAAGTTGCTCAGCAATCAAGCTTTAGCAGGGGAGTCCCTGCAAAACCCCAGCCTGTCTCCCCTCCCCACCCCCGCCCAGGAGGAGAGCTGTCTGGAGGGACCACACTGCAATGCTAAGGAGGTTGCCATGGAAACCCAGGCAGGCTGGCGTGCTACTCAGAGAGGGAAAGTGCCCTGTGTTTCCTGCAGGGCTGAGGAGGGGCCTGGGGGCCCCTGAATAGAAGGAGCAGAGACAGGGGAAGGGGCCTGCTGTGGACCTTCTCAAATCCAACCTCAGGTTAAGCTAGCCGCCCCACCCACCTGCAATCTTGCCTTCCAAGGTCCAGCTTGACGGTTGTGATGCTCTCCTTTTCAGACTTACCTTGAGAAGGCCAACTTCAAATGGTCAGGCTTCCAATGGGGGTTTTTCTAGGGCAGCAGAGAGGTGGTGGGTTTGGGGTCTGGTAGGAATCCAAAAGAGAGAAAATAAATCTGGGAATCCCAGAACAGACAAACTTTCCAGAAGTGAGAGGAAGGAGCAACTCTTAAGTTTGGGGGCTGAGGGCTGAACAGAATGGGAAGGCAGAGTCAAGAGAACCCCGTGGAGGGGGAGGGCCCTTCCGCTGCAGGACTCTACCTACAGCTGCATTTCTCTGGGGGCACGCAGCATGTCTCTGGGCAGCTTTCTCTGTATCATTACCCTGGGCTGGGCCAGGGGTCAGCTCAGTGGTGTCCCAGCCTGGGCAAATGCCCGCCTGCTTCTCTGTCCAGAGCAGCACTTTAGTAGCACTCTTCGAGAAGCCTACGCCATGTTTTGACCTTGTTCCCTCTCTCTTCTTGGGTTGGG